GCAATGCAGGAGAGTTCCTTTTTTTCCACATCCTCGCCAACATTTGTTGTTGTCTCCTGATTTTTTACTGAAAATGACATTTTGGATAAAAATTTTGCAACCCTGGATATTAACTGCATATCAACACACAGACACATACCTCTACCCTTGTTTGCTTATCTGTTTAGTGAGCTGGCTAGACTATTTTACTGACATCTATTTCCCTCAAAGTGACATCTAACATTACTCCTTGGAATGCACAGCCGTGAGCACCTGCAGTGAACCTGGGGTGACTATAGTTTTAATAGAACTCTCCTGGACTGTGCGTTTCACAGGCTGTTAAACTGTCTGCTACTGTTGGTATCACATCCAACTCTACTAATTACTGCCTGATAGCTCTGTTCTGACAATCACCTGAAAAGTAAAGGGTTTCACATTCAAATCCAATCAAATTCCAACCCTTTTGTAAGGTAGTTCCTTTGTTCTGATTCCAGGAGGGCTTTTTCTTTTTTTAACCTTTTCCCCCTGATTCTTTCTGGTAAGATTCAAACTAGATTATAATTTAGCTTATTGCTCTCACAGAACTACATGCTTCTTAATTGCTCATCACTAAAATCTCCATTGTTTGGAGCAGCAGCCTTAGACTTAGACATTTCCCACACTTTCAGATAAAGTCAGGTCCCTTGGAAAAGCATCATGCTCTAAGTTTTAGAATTTGTCTTTTAAATTGCCCAAGAGCTCAGCACCACTGTTCCCATGTTGGGGGATAATGGGAAGTCTCTCTGAATGACATGCCTACTATCCAATCAGGTTGCTGGGCAAAGACAGTAGCTTCTGGACTTTTCTGCTTGCCTTTGTCAGCACAAAATCACTGCCCTATGAGCAAGTCAGAATAATGATGAATGGGTTCCCAATAGTCTTAGTTATTGTGTTTGTGGTAAAAATTAGGACACTACAAACGGCTGTTCTTGTCTGGAATAAAACTGATGAGAAGTGGTAGTGATGTGTCCCTCCTGGGAAGACACCATGTTATCTCACTGGGGCACAAGGGGGAAAGGAGCTTTGAGTTCTGGGTTCCATCTGCCTAAATGAAACCTCCCTCTGATCTGGAGGTGGAGGACATGGGAGAGAGCAGGTTGGTTGTTAATTATACACATGGCTTTCAATGGTCATACTGAAATTTCTTAATAAAGGTGCCTTCATTTGCTTTATGCCTTGATGAAAATCTCCATAGGCTTAAGATAGTAGTGTTCCCTAGAATTTTCTTCAGCTGTGGTTGTTTTGATGGTAGGAGGAGCCACAGAACTCCTCTGGCTACCTCCTAGAAGTTTTCACTCATGTCAATTCTTTCACTTTCTCTCTTTTTTTTTTTTTTTAAGGAAAAGAAAAGAGAAATGCCTACATAAATACTTCAGGCAGTGAGCTGTATTTCTGAAAGGGGTAGGTTTAAGAAAGTAATGTCTCATTACTTTTGAGCAGGAGAGTTGCTCATCTCATGCTAATTATTTTTAGTCACATAATGTACTGCCCCCCTCAGTCACTTAGTTGTTTAAATGCTGACAAATGCCTGTTGTCCATTTTTATAAATTTTTATTGCTAAACAGTCACTACCATTTGTTTACATATTGTTTAAGACTGATTTTGCTTAATAACACACTTGAGCAGTTACATGTATACAGGCCACAAAACATCTGGTCCTTTACCTGAAAAACTGAGCAACTCCTGACTTAGTAGATGGCTTCCTGAGCTTAGTTATCTCTGCCAACAAAACCTCCACAACCCCTCAATGTTCCTTTGTCTAACAGCTACTTGAACTTTGACAAAATGTAGCAGTGGTTACTCAATGTGTAACTAGCAAGGAATAAACTATTAAAACTAAGAAAAAGAAAACCAACTATAACTTCTAAGTTCGTTCTCGTTAGCGTAAATTTATAACCAAATTTCCAAATTTGGTAGTCTGCAGACTACCAAAATTAAATTGCTTTCTTCAGTTCAAACCATCAACCACTAATAGACCCCATGTATTCCCAGTACTGAGGAGAGGGTAGGAAAGCAGGAGCTAAGTAGTTTTCTACCTCTTCCTAAACTAGACCTCACAAAATTGCTTGGGCATTTTTCTTTTTGTTACAAATTCAATATGGAGTACCAAACAAGTATAAGGGATTATTGGTATCATTCTTCATTCAAATGCACACTGGTATAAATTACCTGGAGTGGTCTATATTAAAGTAAACATACAGGGCCTCCTTGGTGGCGCTGGGGTTAAAAGCTCAGCTATGAAGCTATCACCAGTCACTGCCACATGAAGTTCAACTCCGAGCGAGGGAACTAACCCACATGATGCAGCAGACTTCTCTTGACTTGACTGCTGCTCCCCTCAGCCATGTATTTCAGTGGATACACATGTTCTGCTCCCCACTGTCTCTGTTGAATCCTCTCACTCCCCAAACCTGATTTACACCCTAGTTCTTCTAGGCATTAATAAATAAAAATAAATCTAAAAACAAACAAACAAACAAAAAAACAAATTATCATGGAGTTTTAATTTACCTCTGCAATCTTTTCTGGTAGAGATTCGTTGAAAATATCCATCTCAGATGCACTTACTATGGCTTTTGTTTTTAACAGATAGCTAGATAAAATACAGAGAAAATATTACCACAAACCTCAAAAGTGTCTACAACAACAATATTTCCAAGTTTACCTTGTAGAAGTTTCCATAGTAAAAAAATATATTCTCAAATATATTCCATAGTAAAAAAATACAGTCACAATCTCATGGCATTGACTACAAAATAGCTAGTGAGGTTATGAGATTAGATTTAGATCCCCTGGCAATTTTTTTGTAAAAGACTGTGCCTAGCTTTACATCTTCCTTGGTACAGTCTACCTTTTCTGAAAAATCTTTGAAAAATTTATTTGATAAAGAATATCTAAGTCTACTCACCACACCATCTTGTCACTGGAAAGGCAGAAGTGATCTCTCAAAGCAGCCAAGGCAGCATGGGTAGAATACAGATGGAAACCAATAGGAATCCCACAGGAACTACAGAACAAAAGGTTGTAAGTGCTGGGAAGGAAAACAACACTGGTAAGAAAGAAAATCAAATAACAGACGTAAAATAACCAGTAACTGAAAGCATTCCTAAGTACTAAAAATCACACTGCAAAAAGTTTCGTTTACATAAAAGCTGATTCAGATGTTAATGTAATTACACCCTAGATTATGGATTCTGCCCACAAAAAGTCACAGATGTACAATTCAATTGAGAAAAACAATTTACATCTGAAAAACAGAAAAAAGAGCTAGTTAATCAGATTAACATTTTACCGTAAAAATTAGCTACCATTAAATCAATGTCCAATTGAAGAAATACAATCAAGTTGATAGGGGCTTACTAAACAATTCATAATAGAACTCAAGTCAGGATCTGATTTGCAGATATAACAAAAAACTTACTTATCCATTAAAAATGCAAAGAAGAAAAGAGTCATCCTATTATCCTAGCAAACTATTTTCTTATCCTCTGAAAGATTATAGGATTTGGAATCAAGAAATGTTGATTTTAGTTCTCATTATTCCATGTGGGTAAATTACAGTGTCTGCTGGTATACTAAGACATACCCAAATATTACAAGAAAATATTTTAAGAGAAATCAACTGGGGACCTCCTTGGTGATGGAGGGAGTTGTTTCAGCACAGTGAGGCTACTAGCAGCCACTGCAGCATGAGTTGGATCCCCAGCTAGGGAGCTGAACCACAAGATGCAGAAGACCTGCTGCTTCCCCTCAGCAGTATATTTCAGTAGATCCACCAGTTCTGCTCCCCACTCTGTCTCTCTCTCTCTCACACACACAACACGTGCGCATGCGCACACACACACACACACACACACACACTCCATGCCCCCCCCCACCTTTGGCCTGCACCCCAGCTCTTGCATGTATAAATAAATATTTTTTTAAATAAAGAACATTATGCAGTAAAATTCTATTAGTAGAATATAAAAATCACACAAGTGAAAAGAAACACTCAGGTTGAGGGATTGTAGAAAATATCAAGCAACAAAATATACTAAATTAGTAAATGAAGTACTACATCACACACACAGTTCTGTAATTCTGAAATATGATAAACAAACAGCAAGCCATGAAATAGTTGTATTGATTTGAATTAATTCCTGCCTAATTAATTATATCATACAAAGCACAGTGTTTATAGACAAATGTCTCATGGAAACTGATATACGACACAGAGCAAAATGAAAATTACAAAATTATATTTATACAATATAAGTATTTCATTGAATGTTAGTACACAAGGAAAAGGAAAATTCTAAGGAATTCTGATAGTGAAATGCAAGAGGCAATGTTCCCCTCTATAGTTTTGAAATCATAGATTTTGATAAATAAAATTAAAATCCTATACTTTGTCTGACCATTGTGTGGTATATGGTTCCCTATTTTTCTAAGAAACAATACATTAGATATAAACTCTAAATATCCTTAGTAAGCTGTTATGGGTTGTCTTGCTCTACCATTACAGTTTAGACTCATCTAAGTTGCTGGATCTTCCATTATTATATGAAATCATGTAATAATGGATTTGGGGGAATACCTCCAATATACCAACAAATACAGCTGCTTCTCAGTTTTTGTAATCTGTAAAATGAGATCAACTAGATGATAAAACCTTTCACTGATATTCTATGACTCTAGAAGGTATCAGGAAACAAAACCAAGAAATGGTTAGAATATTTTCCCCCCAAATTCACATTATAATACTGAGGAGGTAAGGGGGATAAAAGAAAGGAGTGGTGAAGAGCTTAAATGAAACAAAATTGGGCCCTTCTTGGTGGTGCAAAGGGTTAAAGCAAAGCACTATGAAGCTATCTACAGCCACTGCAGCAGGAGTTTAATACCCAACCAAGGAGGTGATGCCTTGGCACATCAGACGTTTCCTGTCTCCCCTGCTGCTCCCTTCAGCAGTGTAGTTCAGTAGATCTGCCTGTTCTGGTCACCACTCTGTCTCTAGAGAAACCTTTCACCTCCCCCGCACCTCTGGTCTACAACACAGACCCTGAATGCGTTAATAAATAATTTGTTTTAAAAAATGTAGATGCAAGAAGTAATTTTGAATCTATCTGACTGAATATAAAATATCGTAAGATTTATCCCAATTTTGGGATATATAAATGTAAAAAAATCTTATAATAAATTGAATATGACAGATTTCAGCTTTCCTTCAGTTGTTTCATAAAAAGAGGTAAAATTACATTTTTTTTAAAGATTTATTTATTTATTCGTACAGAACTGGGGTACAGGCCAGAGATGCGGAGGGTGAGAGGATTCACCAGAGACAGAGTGGGGAGCAGAACA